ACACACACACACACACACACACACACACACACAGAGGCAAAGAAATTGGTCAATCTTGAAAAATAAACGAAAAGTGGAAAAAAAATTGTTTTCAGTTAGCCTTTTTTCACCATCAAAGCACACAAAGTAATTTATTACAATAAATAGCCTACTGATCGTAACTCGTCTTTTCTTTGCAATAATGAAATCTTTAAAAAGCCCATCCCTTAAAAAGGCATTCTGACAGGGGGGCTGCAGCATGATATAGACATTTTTTTATCTTATCTACACTTTTCTTCGCATAACAACTGATATCGTTCTATAAGTAGACAAACAAAGCCGACGGAATTATCTCTTTTGAGTTCAAGAGAGGTGGATGAGTTTGCACACAGGATTTTTGTCTGGACCCTTGCAGAAAGAATCTGACAAATGAAGAAGTCCTCCACCTTAACTTTATTTTTCTAAACTGCTTTTTAAGACAGAAAAACATACACATGTATATTATATGCCGACTCTGTTTTGTCTCTAGGCAAAACACAACTTTCATCTCCACTTTCTGCTATCTCCCCCCACCCTTTGACACCTCCTCTGAGCTCCTGACACTTTCTAATGCCTTTCTACAGATACTTCTTGTCTCTTTCCAACTGCTGTCTTTCAGCCACATCCCTGATCTTAGGCTAGGCAAGATCAAACACCTAGCCTTCTCGGATAAGGGTGAAAAAAATTTCTGAGGTCTCATGGGAAAGTTGCACACGTTAAAAAGATCCCTTCGTAGTCCTAAAATCAATAAGAGTAAGCTTCAGCCGCCACCCAGGCAAAATTCCACATTAATTCCTACCAAATTGAAACCTACCAAGCTGAAAATGCTTATGTGTCCCACGCACTCATATGACCTTTTTTACACAGTTGTGAGCGCCGTTAAAAAAAAAACAACACATTTTAAAGGCACAAAGCTAAGGTCTGGAAATATATTTTTCTCATTAAAAGTTCCTGTAAACCAACGAGAGGATGCCTTTGATGAAGATGGAGACAAGACATCTCTGAAGAATTGGACAGAATTGTCTCTAAAGGCTATAATTGAGCTTGCAGACAGGCTGTGCTTCAAGATAGATGTACAGCATATAGGAACTGTTGACAAGAACTAACAGTAATGCAATTAAATTAATTCCTCCGTCAGCTGGAACAAGATAATGAGCTCTAGGCCTAACAGCTAAAAATTAATTGTAGCATTAACTATGAATCATGTTATGTCTTTCTATTGTATAACTGTATTTTTAAAAACAAATATTGTAAACAACTTGTTCACATAGGCCTAGATGATGATATATAAAGCTATCTACTCATGTAAGAATAGTGAGTGTGTAACCAAGTCATTTTGTTATTAGATTTCACATCAAAACAAAAAGATTGTCAACACAGCACAGAATCCCACTCAAAGTGCTATCAACATCGCAGTTTGTATTTTTATCAAAAGCATACACATATAAGTATGATAAAAATTTATTTGGATTTTTTAAAAACTGTTTCACTATGCAGACTGGATTGTCTTATGTATAGCACTGCAACCCCCCATCCCCGAGGGAGATGGAAACAGGACAAAGTAGGGGATTGCTGGGTTTGGGTGAAGTACGGTGTGGCTTTATGCACAACACAAGCTGAATTGACATTTTAGAGGAACTATCTCTACACCACCAAATTGAACGTGGAGAATAAAAAATTTAAGTGACAACTACGAGTGATAAAGTGCTGTACTTTTGACTGTCATCAATATTTATGAAATTGTGACAAACTGAGTCTGTGACAAACTGGGCAGCCCCCGGCCTAGTGGATAGGCTACCGGACTCGTAATCGTGAGGTTGCGGGGTCGGGGGTTTGAGCCGCGGGCCTGACGTTGTGTCCTTGGGAAAGGCACTTTACACGAATTTTCCTCACTTCACCCAGGTGGGAATGGGTACCCGGTCATAGACAGCGAACGATCTTTTCAGTATGTTAGTGTTTTAGCGCCTATAAATGGTCGCTTGCACTGCATGCTTCCCAGGAAGTAGAGGTTGTTTCAGAATGCTCTCAGGTCTGCTGGGGTAATAGTAGGCCTATAGATTGTGAAGCTCATAGAGCCTGCTGCTGAGAAGGGATTTGCACCATACAGATGCTATCTATTATTATTATTATAATTATAATCAATAAAAAAAACTGCTAAAAATCAAAGAAAAGAGGAAAACAAACGGACAGACTAAGGAAAAAAGGAATAGAAACGTCAGAAAACCATAAGGAAGGAAAAGGATATTAATCTTTGTCGAGTTATAACAAATTTTATAACAACTGATAACAACAAATAACAACTGATAACATAAAAATACTTTCTTCCAGATTAAATTACAAAAAATAAATTTTTTTCAATATCGGATGTTATGATCCAAATGTACAAATTTTGTGGAATGTTCGTCAATAATGGCAAATTTTTCAATATTTTGCAGTTCTAGATTATATATTCATATTATTATTCTGATGTAGACCTATCCTTTGACTAGATTCTAGGTCTAGATCCAGGTGCAAACATATTTTTTAAATTTCACCAAAGATTATTAATTTTTTATTTTCAAATTTTATCCGCATCTAAGCAAAATTGTGTTGCATATTCACCTCTTATTAGATCTACAGGTACCAAAGTTGAAAAATACACACAAACAAACATTAATTAGGCCCTACAGATGTATTGTCTACAAATCATAGTAGGGCCTACTGAAAATTCCGGCGTAGTGTATAGGGGCTATTATGTTGATTTATTTGAATACCTTTGAACAGCGTATTACACCTAGATTCTAGATCTAGATTATCTAGTCATCATCTCATTTCGCTTTCCCCCCCAAAATTTCTTACACTTACACAAGCCTAAAATAATACGCAGCAAATCAGTTAAAAACCAAGAGCAACTAAAACAGGACGTTTGCGCTGATCATTTGTCGTTATTTTGTTGATATCAGTTGTTATTTGTTGTTATCAGTTGTTATTTGTTGTTATCAGTCGTTATTTGTTGTTATTTCTTGATATCTCAACAAAGATATAAATATATTAAATACCATGCTGAAGGAAAAAAGTAGGCTAATAGTGCTAGAAAACAGGATTCTAGAATCTAAACCTAGAGATCTAAATCTAGATATTAGATCTAAATCTGTTTCTTAAACCATACTTGAACTCACCATGGTGCTCGCTAGATCTAGATATATCAGTACATATAGGAGAATAACTAAACATAAAGTATACAATTTCAGCAATTTCTTTCGTGTACAATTTCTTCGAAGCGAAATCGACTTTTCACGAAGATTCGGGCCAGCATAGCAATTGCCATAGCAACGGGTTGACTCGCAAATTTAGTTTTTTTTGTGAACGCGCTGATCATAAACTTAAATTGAGAACAGGTAGATTCTAGGCCCAATTAATGATTGCCATCAGGCTTGATACAACCACAAAACAATAATAATAGATCCCGTAATCTTTTGTTTCAATTAAAAGATGCGAGGTAAAGAGATTTTACGCACTATTTGAAGAAACCATGAGTGGTATGTTGTGGTTGTAAAAAAGGAACAGCGCACCAGTAAGAGGCCAACAAATCCGGGGTTATGTCGACGATTCTAGCACCTACCTGCTGTTTTCAAAAGAATTCGGGGAGTGTCACATCTTTTCCACTTGATGCTGTAGCATAGATATCGAAAAAAAAAAACACCCTGGGGTCTGTTAATGTCAGTCTGTTCTAAGCCAACACAAACTCCTATGTCCGACGTCGTCTTCTCCACCTCCTTCCCGAACTTCCACACACAGCAGAACTAACTTGCCAAGATAACGCAACTGGCATTGAAGGAAATTTTCCCCAATAGGTGGCGCGTACAATCGACGGTGTCAAGGTTGGCGCACACGCGGGCAGTTTGATTTGTTCCAGTCGAGCAGTTCAGTGTAAGGTGCCCGAGTTTATGCTCGAGTTGTTGCCCTTTGACCGTACTTGTCTTTCTCTTTCCCTCTCACTCACTCACTCACTCTCTCTCTCTCTCTCTCTCTCT